CCTGCTGTGTTCCTCCAGCTCCACACTGTGTTATCTCTGACTCCAGGATCGGCAGTTCTTACTATCTCAAAGTAATCTTAAACTGCCTTTCTTCCACGGTGACAAAATATGTTTGGGAACACACAGTGGCCTTCCAGTTTGAGATGAACAGCAGGATGCAGTGGTGGGTAAGCAAGGGAAAATGGTACTTTAAAATGAAAGCATACTCTCTCTGACTCTGTTGTATTAAAATAAAAGAAAACAAAAGGATCTTGTAACCACGACACCTCTGCCAGTAGGCTGTTGGGATGCAAACCCATCCAAGGGACAGTGTGCGGCTGATCCTAACCCCAGAAAGGTGCAGAAGGCCTGGACCTCCCTGGAGCACTGGCTGACTCCTCTCCTAGCAGGAGGCTGCCTACAGGCAGTTAAACTGGAGTCTGCCTCTTGTGAGGAACTGGAGACAGACTGGAAAACCCTAGCCCTCCTTTCCTTCTTTAATTTACTTCAGTAATCTCTTAACAAGCCCAGAAGCTGCTCAGCACTTCATTTGCAACAAGACCATGGGCTGTGTATGGGGCAGCGGAAAGCTGCAAACTGCCTGATAAAATTATTTGTAACATCTACATCCCTCCTTGTATCGTGTCAAGATCCAGCCGTTGCTGTCACAGGAGCAGTTTTTCTCTAATCTTTCAAAGCACAGACTCCCTTCTTACATTTAGCTGACAGCAACAGATCACATAGCAATGACTGAAGAAGGCTTTAGCCTCGATCTTCCAATTGGAGGCCAGATTTACCCTGAAAGAAGTTCATCACGATCTCTCAGAAGTCCTGGTGCATTGACTACATCATAAATACCTGGGAAGTTGAAACTTGCAAAGGACAATTAGCTATTTCTCTGGAATCCTTCAAAAAGCCCCAGTGGTGAGTTAGAGTCAGAGACTTTAGAGGTTTCCAACTTACTTTATTTAATGGGTGGCTAGGAAATGTTAGAGAAATGACAATCTGATCTAATTCCCAGCTAATTATAAATCTGAACTCTACCCACTACACCCCGCCTCAACCATCCAATCGCTCATGTCGATATTCCCCCATCCCAACACCCACCAACCCACTTATCCCCAGTCACTCTCCCTCGGAAATAGGAATTACAACTTAATTGGGAGGTTCTGATCTTGGGATTTGTATGAGTAATCCCGGCAACACTTCTCCATCACCCAATATGAGTCAAAGGCAGGAATATCTGGTCATTCATTAACTTGTTCTTATGGGGGATTTTCCTGTGTGCAATTGGAAGTTGCAGAGACTCACTTTAAAACTAATCTGATTGTAAAGCACGTTGAGTTATCAGGAGAATGTTTGGCACTGTATAAATGCAAATTTCTTTCTTTCATATCTGTAATGAAAAAATGATGAATTGTGACTCTCATCTTTCTATCCTCAGAGATGTCAATGGAGATCACAATTCACCTCGATTTCGACATTTTGGATAATACCAAAGCAGATTGTGTGTGTTATTTCAATCAAGAATGATTCAAACCGCTGCAAATTATTCTTTAGGATGACACAGTATTGACTTCTGATTTTCAAATAGTTGCCACTCATGGTAAATTGAATTCCTAGTCACTATCTGTACTGGAAAATGTCTGATAAAGCATCACAATTAGGTAAGGTTAGTAACACAGCAAGGTGCATTTTCTATAGCATTTTGTTAATGTAGTAAAACACTTCACAGAGGCATTATTAAACGAAATTTGACATCGATCCACAAAAGTAGATGTAGACAACACAAAGCCTGGTCAAAGAGGTAATTTTTAAGAAAAACTGAAAGAACTGCGGATGCTGGAAATCAGAAACAAAAACAGAAATTGCTGGAAGAGCTCAGCAGGTCTGGCAGCATCTGAGAGAAATTAGAGTTAATATTTCAGGTCGAGTGACCCTTTCTGAGAACTAATTGTAACTAAGAAAGTGTTGGTTTTTGGGCAGAGGATACAGTGGGGGTAGGGGGTAAGGAGTAAATGATAGGTCGAGATAGAGCTCAAAGAGAGGGAAGGACAGACGAAGGAGTGGATAACAGTCAGCCTAGGAGAATGATTAGCTGCTAAATGAGACTGTTAGTGTCTAACCTCATCCCGCCCCCTTGACCTGTCCGTCCTCCCTGGGCTGACCTATCCCCTCCCTAACTCTCCACCTACTCTCCCCATTACTGGCCACCTATCCCCTCCTCTATCCATCTTCTATCCGCCTCCCACTCTCTCCCTATTTATTTCAGAGCCCCCTTCCCCTCCCCCTTTTCTGATGAAGGGTCTAGGCCCGAAATGTCAGCCTCTCTGCTCCTATGATGCTGCTTGGCCTGCTGTGTTCATCCAGCCCTGCACCTTGTTGTCTCGGATTCACCAGCATCTGCAGTTCCTACTATCTCTGTTAGTGGCTAACAATGAGTTGTGTATAATTGCAGACTGTGTAATAACAAGAGATAGTAAGAACTGCCAATGCTGGAGTCAGAGATAACACAGTGTGGAGCTGGAGGAACATGGCATGGCACGGTGGCACAGTGGTTAGCACTGCAGCCTCACAGCGCCGGGGACCCGGGTTTGATTCCAGCTTCGGGCGACCGTCTGTTCGGAGTTGGCACTTTCTCCCCGTGTCTGCGTGGGTTTCCTTTGGGTGTTCGGTTTCCTCCCACAGTCCAAAGATGTGCAGGCTAGGTGGATTGGCCATGCTAAATTGCCCGTAGTGTTCAGGGGTGTGTGGGTTATAGGGGGATGGGTCTGGGTGGGATGCTCCAAGGGTCGGTGTGGAATTGTTGGGCCGAAGGGCCTGTTTCCACACTGTAGGGATTCTATGATTCTATGAGCGCAGCATCAGAGGTAGAGGAAAGCTGACGTTTCGGGTCGGGACCCTTCTTCAGATATAACAATAACAGACATAACAGTAATAACAAGGCCTGGTATGTGGGGGTTGGTGTAAGACAATGGGAGAAACTCAAGCCCTAATGTTGTTGAACTCGATACTGAGTCCAGAAGGCTGTAGAGTTGCCAAGTGAAAAATGAATTGCTGTTTTTCAGCTTGAGCAGTAGGTTTTAAGGTCTATCCCAAAGAGAGGCAGCAATCTCTGGAGAAGAAGTCTTAGAGTATGAGCAGCTAAAGACACAACTGCAAATAGTGGGGCAATTAAAACTTACAGAATGAATGCAAATACCATTGTGGTCTGAAGAGTTGGAGGATGTTACAAAGATAGGGAGAGATGAGGCCATGAAGGATTCTGGAAACAAACATGAGAATGTCAAAATGAAGGCACTGCTTGACAGGAAATGAGTGAATGTGGGTTGATTGGTGAAGGGGTTCGATGCAATTTAGGACACAGCCACAGGATTTTAGTTTAGCTCAGGTTCACAAAGGCTGGAAGCTGGGAGTCCAGATGATAGAACATTGGCATAGAGTTAGCAAAGGCATGCACGCGGGCCTGAGCAGCAAATGAGCTGAGACGGTGCAGAGTCATGTGCCCTATGTTACAGAGGTAGTTTTAATGATGGTGTGCCTGCGTGGTTAGAAGCCCACCATGGGGTTAAATACACCACCAAAGTTTCAAACAATCTTATTCATTCTCAGGTCATTGCCAGGGAAAAGAATGGAGTTGGTGGCTGGAGAACAGAATACGTCATGAGCAACAAAACAATGGCTTCAATCTTCCTAATATTTAATGCCAGCAAATGGTGTTACGAATATCCAGTTCATGGTTCATGTGTTATAGTATATATTGTTTTAGTTTTAGGCATTAAAATTTCTCACAATAGAAATTGAGATAATTGCAATTGAAGCACTTTGAAGTTTAGTGCACTTAAAAGGTTGGAAACACGAGAAGATAAGAACGTAACAACTAAGAGATAGAGGAGGCTATTCAGCCCCTCAAACCTACCCCACCAAGTCAGCAATGGCTGATCTGCACTAGCCCTCAAGTCCTCTTTATTTGCCAGCTCCTCACAGCCCTCAACTCCTCAAAATTCTATCTTCCTCTTTAAATACTTTTCGGTGATCTAGCCTCCACAGCTCTCCAGCGTAAAGAAATACCTTTGTATCTCCACTTTAAATGAGTGTCCCTTTATTCTGTAAATATGTTCCCTCATTCTACTAATAGAAACATCTTCTCAGCATCTACCCTGTCGAGC